CACAACATCTTTGTTGGTATGTGGTGCTGAGGATCGAACCCGGGCCGCACGCACGCCAGGCGAGCGCGCTACCGCTGAGCCACATCCCCAGCCCCCACAAACATCTTTTAATCTTTGTTCCAATGTCACATTCTGAATGAAGCTTTCTCTTCCTTTTTTTTGAGGTTGGGGGGTACTGGGGATTGAACTCAGGAGCACCCGATCATTGAACCACATCCCCAGATCTATTTTTTAAATATTTTATTTAGAGACAGAGTCTTACTAAGTTGCTTAGTGCCTTGCTTTTGCTGAGGCTGGCTTTGAACTCATGGTCCTCCTGTCTCAGCCTCCCAAGCCATTGGGACTATAGACATGTGCAACGGCGCCCAGCTTTTCTCCATCTTTTTTAAAATCTTTTTTTGTGGCTCTAGGGATTGGAGATTGAACATCCTAAGCACAAGCACTACCACCGAACACTACTGTCAGCCGTCTACCTCACTAAAATTGCAACCCTACCTTCTCAGCACTCTTTGACCCTCTTCCCCTACTCTTTTGTCCTTAATACTTATTGTGTTTTTATTATTATGGCAATTGTCCTGCCCCACTAAAATATAAGTCCCTCAAATTAGGGATTTTTGGTTTAAAAAGGGTCCAGCACTCAGTGAGCAATCAATGTATGTTTGTGAATGCTTGCTGAATGCCAGTCTCACTGCTTAAACTAGAGATCACCATGCTTTAGGTTCTCCCTAAAACATCCTCTCCGGGGCATTTTGTTCCACCTTGTTCTTCCACTGATATTTTAAATAAGCTCATCCTTTAGAATTCTTTCTTCAGAGATATATCTGCTCTCCTGGACTCAACTGCACCCTTTCAAAATGCTCCAACCTCTTCATCTTTGATTTGGGACCTTTGTTGAGCTCTGGGTCCACCAACTCCAACCCTAACCTCCAAGAACCCCAAGCCACTTCTCACTGGACACCCAGAGGGAGCCAGTCAAATCACTTCAAATCTCCTTACTAAGATGTCATCCCAGTGAAGTTCCTCTTCAGTGCTGCCCTAGCAAAGTTCCTCTTCCTGATTTCTTGAATACTGTCCATGGGGCCAAGGATGTCCCTGCCATGTAGTTGCCAGTCATTTCTGACTTCTCCTTCTCTTTGTCTGTGCAGAGTCACCAAGTCATACATGAATAATGTGTTTGCTCCCTAATCAACCCATATTCCCCATCTCATTTCTTGAAAGTATGTCTCCTATAGGCAAGCCAAGGTCATGTCTAGGAACAAAGAAATTCACTGAATGGAGAAGAAAGCAGGGTGTTATAATAGATTTTATATCAGGAAAACTAGGTTCTTCACCTTAAGTGAATACTTTCCCTTTCTGAGCCTCAGCTCCCTATTTGGAAAATCATCAGGTTAAGATTCAAGGATCTCTAAAGGGCCCTTCCTTCATACAGCTGCCATTTAATGATTTATGAACCACTTACTGAAATGTCCTAGTTCTAGGAAAAATAAACCCACCTGGGTTTTTCTCATTCTCGTGTTGACGGAGTTAGAATTCTCATCAGCTTCCTCCTTCTGAGGCTCTATGGCTGTGGGAAGACGCAAGAGTCCAGAGAAAAGGATATTGACTCAAGACTTCTGGAAATTGGAAACCAGGAAAAAGGGCCACAGCCAGATCACAGCTACCTAATAGGGAGCTTCTCATTTCTGGGGAATTTTTTAGGGAACTATAACTTATGATAAAATGACTAGGGGTTGGGGGTGTTGCTCAGTGGTAAAATGTATGCACAGTATACACACAGTCTTGGATTAGATTCCCAACACCATGGGGTGGGGGGGGGACACCAATTTTGAGCCTCTGGCAACAGAAAGTTTATTTTTCCTTGCATTACATCAGTGAGTTCCCATGAGTATGAAGAACACTCATAACAAAACCCAAAGAATGCACATTGAGCAGCAAGAACTATAGGAGTAAATGGTTTCATTCTAAATAAAGGAACCTGAAAAGCAGGCATATATTATGAAAAGTACAGTGGACTGGATGCCAGGGCACAGAGATTCTAGACCCAGGCTGCTGTGTGACCTGGATGTATCACTGGCCTCTCAGAGGCAAAACTCCACAGACATACCAGGAACAGGGAAGAACCAAAGGGAAGGGAGGACCTAGGAGCTCACCCTTCAGCTGAGTGCGGATCTCCCTTCCCAGCTGTTTGATCTCATCACGCAGGTTCTGCAGGTCCTGCTTCATGCCTAAACAAGAGAAGGCCTTGATTCCCCAACCACAGCCCCCACCTCAAGAAATCACCCTGCACTTAACTACAACCCCCACAATCCATTGGGCTGAGCATGCGTACACCCGGGGTTTCGCTTACTCTCCTCGGGAAGGGGCGTGGCCAGGATGGTGACCTGCTGCTTCTCCAACTCCCGGATTTTATTCTCCAGCTTGACCATAGTCTGCCGAATTGTCTGGACCTAAGAAGGATGACCGAGAGGGCTGAAAGAGATTTGGGGTACTCCAGATTTCATTGCTCCTCGGTCCTCCTACCCCCTCGAGAATCCAGGCCAAGACCCCAGCCCCTTACCTTCTGGAAGAACTCATCGTCTGGGCTCCCCAGCCGAGCTGTGCCCGGGTGCACCACCAGCGCAACTCGCTCCTTGTCCTCATCGTCCGAACTGTTATCCCCCTGCCAGGGCCGAAGTCACTGGCACCATTTTCATGCTGCAGTTCTCGCCCCGCAGGACCCATGGTCTTCCGGGATTTTCCTTCCTGGCCATCAGCCACCCCTCCCTGTCCCGAAGACCAGGGCTCCTGCAATCCAGTCGGTCCTCCAGCACCCAACCCTAYTTCCCCAGTTTCTCACCTGCCTCAGCTCGCGGGTCCTGTCCCGCATGGCGGCGGGAGCTCTCTCCCCGGCGTCTGAGCCCAGAGGGCCTCAAGATTCTAAGTTTGGAAGTCCCGCACCCCACTCGCATTGACAGCCCCCTCCCTCACCCTGCGGACCCCAACACCCTCATGAGCCGCCAAAGACCCTGACCCTCGCACTGTCCACAGTCAATGGGAAGGAGCCGACTTCAGGACCCCCCAAGTTCCACAGGTTGGAATTCCCTTTTCTTCCCCCCCTCCCGCTCCCGTAGCCTCAGCCCCGCCCCTCTGGGATAGTTGGGGCATGCGCAGCAGGTCGCGTCTCTTCCTCGCCCGAGGGAAAGGCGAGGTCGGAAGCTATAGAGCCCCGAACGGAAGCAAAACTGCTTCAATGCTAGAGCCCTCCCCCTTTACCGGAACCGTCGCTTCTTCCAACGGAAATCTGTTGCCAAAAGGGGTGGGAATGCGTCATTTCTATGTAATCGAAAAAGACCCGCATCTCACATCACCCCATGGCGCCCCTCGCGTCACGTGAGCAGCTTGGTCCCAGCCTCGCAAACCGCAGAACGTGACTCTGACTGTCACGTGTCCGGCTCTGTCAACGCTGCCTCCGAGACCAGTCTCACGACGTCCACGGCACCCGGGCTCTGAGCTATTCCCCTACAGCCCCCGAGAGGTGGGGCGGAGGGCACTGACTATCCCAGAGACCTTTTGAGGCAGTGGGTGGTGGGACATTGGCCTGAATTCACTTGTATTCTTTTGGGGACCAGGAGCGTTGGCAGACTTAAGACTTAGAATTGGGACTGTCAGCATCTTGGGACCTTGAAAGTCAGAAAATAACAAGACCCGAAGTCTTCAGCGTCAAAGAATTGCAGGGGTTAGTAGGCAGAGAATCTGGGGGTGGAAAGTGACCTCACCCAAGGCAGAAATTTCTTCCGCATACTCCTGGCTCAGCCTCTGACAGGTGGGCGGCCGGCGCCCTGCAGGAACACTGCAGTCCCGCTGCACTCACCAATTTCCGATCAGTGAGACCATTTCAGGACATCTCAGGCTGAGAAAAAAAAAAGTGTCTGTATTATGTTGAGCGGGCTGCTTCCTTGCCACTCACACCTCCCACCCCTACCCTTCGCTTGAGGTCAGAGCATGACTGTCTTGCTCTTATCTAAATCCTCACCATCAAGTTCAGTACCTACTGCTGTAAAGTACTCACGAAATATTTCTGAACAGAATTTTAGCCTGTCGTGTATACGAAGACGAAGCCCATGGTTCCCTGATCTTTAGACTTTAGGCTCTTTCACGGTGCCACTTCCCTAACCTGGCTCTCTATACATTCACTTGAGTGATATTTATTGGGCATACTGTGGAATAGACACTGTTACAGGGACTGGAGATACATCAGGGACTAACAGACAAAAATCTCTGCTCTTGTGGAACTTACATTTTATAGAAGAAGTTCCCAAAGCACTCAGTCTCCACATAGCCAAGAATGCATAGATCATATACATATGTCAAGAGTACAGCTCTTTGCAGTGAACTCATGCAAAATTTCAAGCAAGAGAAGGAAAGGTCCCTCTCCAGTATGGACTTGTCAGGAAACCTATATTCTTGTGCCTGAGTTGCTACAGACTGCAGAGTCACTTCTTGCTTCTGGGCCTTGATCTGTACAGTGGGTAACAGCAGGGGGATGGAAAGGAGGATCAACTTTATCAATATGCCCTGCTCTTGCCGAGTGCAGTGGCGCTCACCTGTAATCCCAAAGGTTTAGGAGGCTGAGGCAGGAGGATTGAGAGTTCAAAGCCAGCCTCAGCAATTTAGCAAGGCCCTAAGTAACTTAGCGAGACCCTGTCTCTAATAAAATATAAAAAAGGACTGGTGATGTGGTTCCGAGGTTAAACACCCCTGGGATCAGTCCCCCATAAGAAAAAGAAAATAAAGGTTCTGAAGTTCAATGATTATGAAGTTGGAAACTGTCAAGTGCTGAGTGAGGGACTTTGGTGTTTCTTTTCCCCTTAGAACTCGGCTCGCCTGAGTTTGCAAATGGAATGAAGATGATGCTGCCAATCAATGTACAGAGGGAATTTAGGGTTGGAGGGCTTATCAGGAGGCTAAGGGTGAGGTCCCTTAAAGATCATGAAGAAAAATTTCTCTGCATTTGGGTCTTCCGTTTTAGCCTGTGCCTCTCCAATTAACTGCCACTCGCCTCCTGCTGCTGCCCCCACATCTTTTCTCTCCTCCTTCTCCTCCTCCATATATATAATTTATTTTTTTATTATGTGGTGCTGAGGATCGAACCAGTGCCTCACACATGTGAGGCAAGTGCTCAACCACTGAGCTACAACCCCAGCCCTCCTCCTCCTCCTCCTCCTCCTCCTCCTCCTCCTCCTCCTCCTCCTCCTTCTTCTTCTTCTTCTTCTTCTTCTTCTTCTCTCTCTCTCTCTCTCTCTCTCTCTCTCTCTCTCTCTCTCTCTCTCTCTCTCTGAAAGTGGAAGGACTCTTGAGCACCTGACTGTATGTGATCTTGAATGATTGCTTCTCTCTGGGACACAATTCCCTCATTTGACAACTTGGTCTGGCAACTTCTACATTGCCTAAAGTAAGAATTGAATGATGTCAAGGGAGGTTAGGAAGGATGTAGAAGGGTCTTGTAAATTCATGAGGGTTTCCCCCTCTCTGGGATTTTACTACTATGCATTCCAGCTCTCTGTGGGCCCTGAGTCCCATCTACTTTTGTATCTCAGCCTCTTGATGACTTTCTTCCTTTTCTCTCTCTCTCTCTCTCTCTCTCTCTCTCTCTCTCTCTCTCTCTCTCTCTCTCTCTCCCTCTTTCTCTCTTTCTTTCTTTCTTTTTCTTTTTCTTTTTTTTTGTAGTGGGGATTTAATGCAGGGGCTCTTTACCACTGGACTACATCCCTAGCCCTTTCTATTTTCCATTTTGAGACAGTCTTGCTAAGTTGTTTAGGGCCTCGCTAAATTGCTGAGGTTAACTTTAAAAACTTGCAATCCTTCAGCCTCAGCCTCCCAAATCACTGGGATTACAGGCGTGCCCCACTGCGCCCAGCTTGATGATTTGCTTTCTTGGTTCCAAGCTGCAATATGAAGTTGTGGTGTCTCTGTTAAGCAACTCAGGATTATGATATTCATTATTTCATATATGGTCTCTGGGTGGGATTACAGGACTTTGGGATGGTGACTAAAGGTCACAAGAAGCTGGACTTAAGCACGGAGTGGTGTGTAGAGAGGACAGACCATTCAGAAACTGAGCCTTTTGTTACTTCCAGTCCCTCTGAGTGACCTTGAAATATGCATTAAGTACATTGGCCTTGGGTGTGTAGGTATTTGGGGGTATATATTCTTTCCAGTCTGTCTGAAGCTCAGACTCCACCTAGTCCTGATGCTTAGCAAACTGTCCTATCCCTTCTACCTGCAGGTATGATCCTACCCACACTGGAGCCAGATGACCTGGGCAGGGATCCCTGCTCATTCATCTACTAACTCTGTGAGGCAGGTTACTTAACCTCTCTGTGCCTCAGTTCCCATCTGAAAAATGGGAAGAATAGTGGTACCAAATAGATTTGCTATAAGGATTAAATGAGATGACATAAGTAAAGAGAATAAGCAGATCTGCTATAGGACAGTGCTATCTAAGTATTTTTTCTATTTTATGATGTTGGTTAGTACTCTGAGGCTTTCAGCATTCCCCAGTGTCTCTGCTGGGTGCTAATCTACTCACTAATTCCTGCACATCTCTCATGTCTCCACTTGGATCTGACAGACTGTATATTTTGCTTATTTATTTTATATTTTGTCTGTCTTCATCTCCACCACACTCACTAGATAAGAACTTCATGGGACTGTGGTGATAGAGCTATGGTGATAGACTCACTTGCCTAGCATGTGTGAGGCCTTGGGTTTGATCTGCAGTACCACATTAAAAAATAAATTAATTAAATGGAGTATAAAACAACAACAACAATAACTTCATGAAGCCAGGTATGGTGGCACATGCCTGTCGTCCTAGCAGGAGGATTGTAAGTTTAAAGCTAGTCTCAGCAATTTAGTGAGGCCCTCAGCAACTTAACGAGATCCTGACTCAAAATAAAAAAATAAAAAAGGGCTGGGGATGTGGCTCAGTAGTTAAGCTCCTGGGTTCGATCCCCAATACAAAAAAAAAAAAAAAAAATCTTTCATGAGGACTGGGATTTTTACCTGCCTTATACACTAGTGTGTCTCCAGCACCTACAACAGTGTTTCACATATACTAGCTGGTCGATAAATATTCATGAGTGAATAGAATTATTCATTTTTCATTTAATATTTATATAGTACTTATTTGTACCAGGCACCAATATAAACAATTTTATAAATATTAACCCATTTAATTGTAATAATTCTATAAGATGGATGCTATTACTGTCCTCATTTTACAGGAAAGAAAACTGACCACAGAGAAGTTAAGTAACTTGCCCAAAGTTTCACAATAGGTAAATAACAAAGCTAGGATTTGAAGCCAGATAGTGCAACTATAGGGTGTGTACTCTTAACCATTACACTATGATCCAAGGAAAATACAGTTAGGGGTGGCTCCACATGTTTCACCACCTCTGGGGACTTGCTGCCACCTATTGATGTTTTGGATTATCTGGGGGGAGGAGGGGGCTGGTGCTTGCTGACTGAACTGCCTCTGTTCCCCTGTCACAGAGTCTCCAAACCTGCTGGGTTAGAACTGACTCTTGGAGAGGTTCTTGGTCCTCCTCTTTCCTCATTTACTTTGTCTCCAGAACCGAAAGATATCCACCCATGTGTCACTTAAGGGCCTCCAATCACCAAGACTATTTCTGTGCAAACCCCATGATCCATGAATGGAGCCCACATAGTTCTGTCTTCTTGAGCCTGTCTGGGGCCTGAACTTGACTACTCCTTAGAGTTCCATCTGAGTGACCTTCCCCTCTTCAAATTCTACACACACTCCTATGGTTTTAACTGACATCCATATGCTTGCCTCCAAAGGTGCATCTTCAACCCAAACTTTCTCCTGAGCTCCAGATCCCAAATCCCAGAATCCACTGGCCTCCTGGATGTCCCCTCCTGGAGGCCACACAGGCATCTGAAGCCCATACACAAAACAGGATGTATCACCTTCCCCTGGAAACCTCCTAAACCAGTTTCCTGTCTTCCTGTGTTTCCTCTTCACGTGGGTGATAAGTGACACTATTAACTCATGCCATTATTTTGGCCTTGAAATTTATTCTAAAGGTGATGGGAGATCTGAGGATATAGATCAGTGGTAAAGCACTTGCCTAACAGCAAAACCCTGGGTCCAGATCCACAGTGCTGCAAATAAATAAATAAGTAAGATGGATAATGTTATTTGTCAGGATAAGCTTTATAAAAACACCACAAGATATGGGTTGGGGTTGTGGCTCAGTGGTAGAACACTTGCCTAGTATGCATGAGGCACTGGGTTTGATCCCTAACACCACACAGGAAAACTAAATAAACAAAATAAAGATATTGTGTCCAGGGCTGGGGATGTGGCTCAAGCGGCAGCGCGCTCGCCTGGCAGGCGTGCGGCCCGGGTTCGATCCTCAGCACCACATACCAACAAAGATGTTGTGTCCGCCGAGAACTAAAATAAATAAATAAATTCTTTCTCTCTCTCTCTCCCCCCCCTTCTCTCTAAAAAAAAAAAAAGATATTGTGTCCATCTATAACTAAAAATTTTTAAATATTTTTAAAACACTACAAGATAATAAGGGGAAAATCCTTTATAGGTCTCAAAATGAGGACAGCTTTTCCAACTCAGAATTCAGGAACTATAAAAGAAAAGATTAATACATCTGTCTCTATAAAAAAATTCTGCATGGTAAAAACATAAGCAAAGTCAAAAAATAAATTGGGAAATATATGTGTATATATACTATCTTATATATATATATGCAATTCTTATCATACACAAATAGCTAATCTCCTTACTATTCATATTGATAAAAAAGACTCATAGTGTAACAAAAATAGGCAAAGAACATGAAAGTTCACAAAAAAGAAAATACATAGGCCTTAAACATGTATGCAGATGTATAACACCACTCCTAATAATAGAAATGAAAATAAGGTAATGATGAAGTCAGGTATAGTGGCTCATGCCTGTAATTCCAGCTACTCAGGAGGCTGAGGCACGAGGATGGCAAATTTGAAGCCAGCTTCAGCAACTTAGCAAGACCCTGTCTCGAAATAAAAATAAAAAGGGCTGGGGATATAGATCAATGATAAAGCATCCCCAGGTTAAATCCCCAGATCCACAAAAAACCCCAAAATACTGAAATGCTATTTTGTGTTTATTGTATTAGTTTAAGCCCATAAATCTGACAAGACACTTTGTCAACATGACTGTGGGGAAATAAGTACTTCATTCATTATTGGTAAGAATGCAAAATAATGCAACTCAAATAATATTTATCAAAATGATAAATATGTTGGGCACAAAGACACATTCCTGTAATATGAGCTACTTGGGAGGCTGAAGCAGGAGGATTGCAAGTTTGAGGCCAGCCTTTACAGCTTAGTGAGACATTATCTCACTAAGATAAAAATAAACCAATAAATAAAAAGGGGTGAGGTGTCTCTCAGAGGTAGAGCACTTGCCCAACATGCACAAGGCCCTGGGTTCAATCCCCAGTACTAAAATAATGCATACATATCCCTCCATTTTTTTTTACAGTACTAGAGATTGAATTCAGGGGTGCTCTACCACTGAGCCACATCCCCAGCCATTTTTTAGTTTATTTTAAGATAGGGTTTTGTTGAGTTGCCATGGCTGACCTCAAAAATATGAGCCTCCTGTCTCAGCCTCCTGAGTGGCTGGAATTACAAGTGTGTGCCACCATTCCTGACTGAATATGTACTTTGAACGAGCAATCCTACTTCTGAGAAGCCAGACGAGATTCCCACTATATTAATTAGCTACTGCTGCATAAGAAATCACCCCCCAGAAACATGGGGTTACTTACTGGACTAAAGCAATCACTTTTTGTTTTTACAGATTCTGAAAGCAGCTGGGTGATTTTTCTGCTGGTCTTGCCTTGGACTACGCAAGTGGTTACAGTCATCTGGGGTGGGCTGATCCAAGATGGGTTCACTCATACTCATGTGTCTGGGATCTTAGCTCTGATGGCTAGCTTGGCTGGAGTGGTTGAGCCACTCCCTCCATGTGACACTTCATCTGGGTTTATTCATAGCATAGTGACCTCAGTGTTCCAAGAAGGTGAAAGTGGAAGCTGCATTACCTCTTGTAGTCCTATTATGAATCTGCACATGACTTACAGAATATTCTATTCAAAGCAAGTCACAAATCCATACCAACTTCAAAGAATGGGAGAATATAATTTTAACTTATCACATCTGGTATTTATTGGTGTTGTGTGAGATAGATCAGAAACTTGTCGATCAGCAGGTTGAAGCTATCAAAAAAGAATTAGGAGAGCTGGGGCTGTAGCTCATTGGTAGAGCGCCCACTTTGCACATATGAGGCACTGGGTTCGATCCTCAGCACCACATAAAAATAAATAAAGATATTGTGTCCAACTACAAAAGAATTAGGAGCCTCACTACATAGAAATATGAAATATTCATTATTTAAATATGAAAGTGTAGAATAAGGATATCAGGCTTACCATTGCATAAGAAAAAAAAAAAAGTGTGTGTTCTCTGCAGGTCAGGCTTAGGTGTCTGACAGGCTGTGTTAGTCAGCTTTTTGTCTCTGTGACCAAAATACCTGACATAAACAACTTGAAGAAAGAAAGGTTTATTTTGGCTCACAGTTTTGGAGGTTTCAGTCCATGGTCTGCTGGCTCCAAGGCAAACGTCCTGTCAGAAGAGTGTGTCAGAGGAAAGCTTCTCAGCTCATGGCAACCCTGAAGCAGAGAAAGAAGAGGAGAGTGCCAGGGACAAGATATAGTCCCCAAGGTCATGTCCCTAGTGACCTACTTCTTCCAACACGCCCTCACCTTGTACAATTTCTATCACCTCTCAGTGGTTCATTCAGCTGTCAGTGGATTAATCCACAGATGAGGTCAGAATCCTCAGGATCCAATCACTTCCTAATGGCCCCTCCTCTGGTAATTGCTGCATTGGGAATCAAGCCTTCAACACATGAGCTTTTGGGGACATTCAGATCCAAGCCATAATATGCTCTCCAGAGGATGGTTTATCCCTTCTGGTTATCAGCCTGCATTGCCTCATCCCCAGGCCTGGGGGATACCTTGAGTGTACTAAGAGGAATAAGAAGATGAGGAAAAAATTGATGAGCATTGCCGGGTTTCTGTTCTCGAGACTAAAAGGCTCAGGGGTCACTCTAGTTAAACTGGGCTAACTGGGTTGCACGAAATAACCACACAAGAGACACAAATACCTTTTTCTTTGGGGTCGCTGTGACGGCTCCTCTGACCTTAAGGGTCTGCAGAAAGAGAGAGAGCAAGAGCACTCGCTGACCCCTTTTATTGAGGAGAAGCTATTCAAATGAGGCAAGGGGTCAGGTTTCAGGGGGCTGAGTCTGTCTTCATGATGTCCACTGTCAACAGGTTGACTGACACCTGGGTAGGCCTCACCCAAGGGCACAGTAAGAGAAGGGGACACACACAGGGCACTTCCATGGAAGATTCTATCCTAAACAGGGCAAGGGGTTAGATTACAAAGGAACAGGTGAGCATAGCTAAACCCGTGGAGCTGTAGCAAGACACACCCATTTCTGTGACTGAGCGCCTCAGCACCCAGCTGGGGAGTGTAACTCAGTCACCCGTAAGGTTGGCTTCCCACAGAGCATTACACTGAGAAAGGATAAGCAACCTGGTTTAAACATGCTGTAGGAGGCCAGACTACACCACCTCAAAATATGTCCCTTTAGGGGCTGGGGTTGTGGCTCAGTGGTAGCGTGCTCACCCAGTATATGTGAGGCACTGGGTTTTATCCTCAACACCACATAAAAAAATAAAGAAAGAATAAGGGTGTCCAAAAAAGTGTTTTAAAAATATGTCCCTTTAGCATATTACTTGAAGGCAATTGTCAAGAAGCAGATATAATAAAGCTCTGCCTTCCTACTATTTGCAAAAAACAGAACACACATCTATACAAGTTCCTTCTCTCTCTACCAAGAAGGACAAAAGGTGGAGATAGTCATAGCTAGATTGATTTGTGTCCCAGTGATTGCTGTGTTGGGTCCTAATCATCCTTACTGTCTCCTGGTGCCTTGACTACAGACTAAGAATTTAGACACAGTGGCACAAACTGACTTGTTGTAATCCTAACAACTTGGGAGGCTGAGGCATAAGGATTGCAAGTTCAAAGCCAGCCTCAGCAACTTGGTGAGGCCCTAAGCAACTTAGCGAGAACCTGTGTCAAAAAAAAAAAGGACTGGGATGTGGCTCAGTGGTTAAGCACCCCTGGCTTCAATCCCTGTACAAAGAGAGAGAGAGAGAGAGAGAGAGAGAGAGAGAGAGAGAGAGAGAGAGAGAGATATTACCTGTACTAGACACAGTAGCACACTCCTGTAATTCCAGCAAYTTGGGATGCTAAGGAGGGAAGATCTCAAGTTTGAGGCCAACCTGGGTAAATTAGGAAGATATTGTCTCAAAATAAAAATAAAAAATGAAAAGACTGGTTATGTAGCTCAATGGCAGATCCCCACTGGGTTCGATCCCCACTGGGTTCAATCCCCAATGTGGAGGGCAGGGGCAGAAATTTAGCTACATAGAATCATAGACTAAAATTTAGTTCTGTTTTAATTAATAAAACTTCTTTTTGAGCAGTTTCAGGTTTACAGAAAAATTGAGCTGAAAGTACAGAGTTCCCATGTGTTCTCCATCCAGCTTCCCCTATTATTAACATTTTGAATGACTGTGGTACGTTTGTTACAATTCATGAATCAGAACTACGTAATTATTAACTCAAGACCATAGTTTCCATTAGATTTCATTCCTTATGTTATACTTTATATGGTTTGACAAATGCATAATGACATGTATCCCACATAGTATCATACAGGATAATCTTACTTCCCTATTGTCCCAAGCACTTCATTTACTTACCCTTATCCTGTGGAGACCACAGACCTTTTTACTGTCTTCATAACTTTGTCTTTGCAAGAATGTTGAATACTTGAAATCACACAGTATATAGTTCTTTTCAGATTGGTTTTGCAATATGTACTTAATTTTCCTCCATGTCTTTTTATTTATTTAAAAAATTTTTAGTTGTAGTTGGACACAATATCTTTGTTTTATTTATTTATTTTTATGTGGTGCTGAGGATGAAACCCAGTGCCTCACATGTGCTAGGCAAGCACTCTACCRCTGAGCCACAGCCACAGCCCCTTCTCTGTGTCTTTTTATGACTTGATAGGTCATTTCTTTTTAGTGCTCAATAATATTCCATTATCTGGATGTACTACAGTTTGTTTATTCACTCATCTACTGAAGAACATCTTGGTTGCTTCCAAGTTTGGGCAATTATCAATAAAGCTGCTATAAACTTAAAAGAAGAAAAGAAAGGTGTGTATGTGTGTGGGAGATGTGTTTGTTTGTATCTTCTTAAAGAAATCTTGGGAAGTTATGTAAGAAACTAATACAAGTTCCCTAGAAGTGATCCATGGGAATAAGGTGGTTACTACAATTGTTAGAGTAAGAATTTTTTAATATATATATAATATATTTAAATATATGTATGGACTTTATTTTATTTATTTTTATATGTGGTGCTGAGAATCTAACCCAGTGCCTCATACATGCTAGGCAAGCACTCTACCACTGAGCCACAACCCCAGCCCTAGAGTAAGAATTTTACTGTATACCTTTCATATTACTTAGATTTTTGAACTGTGTAAAAGTACTATATTTCAAATATATATATATATATATATATATATGTGTGTGTGTGTGTGTGAAAGAGTGAGCTCAGGGCAATGGTGCATTCCTGTAACCCCAGCTAGTCAGGAAACTGAGATAAGAGGATTGTGAGCTCAAGACCAGCCTGGATAATTTAACAAGACTGTGTTTTAAAAAAATCCCAAGCCAGGGCCGGGGTTGTGGCTCAGTGATAGAGTGCTCGCCTAGCACGTATGAGGCCCTGGGTTCGATCCTCAGCACCACATAAAAATAATAAAATAAAGGTATTATGTCCAAGTACAACTAAAAATAAATCTAAATAAATAAATATAAAGATCCCAAGTCAGTCACGGTGATGCATTCTTGTAATCCCAGCCTCATGGGAGGCTAAGGCAGGAGGATCAGGAGTTCAAAACCAGCCTAAGCAACGAGCAAAGCACTAAGCAACTCAGTGAGATCCTGTCTCTAAGTAAAATACAAAATAGGGCTGGGGATGTGGCTCATGGGGTCAAGTGACCCTGAGTTCTGGAGGCTGAGAAGTCCAGATGAATCTGTCAGCAGATTCAATTCACAGTGAGGATTTGCTTCCTGGTTTGTAGAGGGCTATCTTCTTGTATTATCATATGACAGACAGAAGAAGCTCTGGAGTCTCCACTTCTTTTTTTATTTTTTTAGTTGTAGATGGACAGAATACCTGTATTTTGTTTATTTATTTTTATGTGGTGCTGAGAATCAAACCAGGGCCTCACACGTGCAAGGCAAGTGCTCTACCACGGAGCCATATCCCCAGCCCAAGTCTCTACTTCTTGTAACGATGAAAAACTCATCATGGGAGCTGCACCTTGATGATCTTATACATACCTAATTGCTTTCCAAAAGGCCCCACTTCTTAATCCCATCACTTTTCGGGTTAAAGCTTCAACATATAAATTTGAGAGAATGCAAACATTCAGTTCATAACAGAATAGCCATGACAGAACTTTAATTTTACAAAGATCCCACTGGTGGTCATTTGCAAGGCCACCACAACACAGATGGCTATGAGGGTATGCTCTACATGAAGCATCACACCAGATGGGCACCATTCGCATCCTAGGCATCGTGTATTTGAATATTTACTACAACAATTATCTGACGGACAGAGGTGGCATGTTGTGAGAAAGGTATACCTTTTGCCAATTTACACAAAGGGGCATTTAGGGGTTGACAGTACCCCTGGGTCTCTGAAGGTTAATTGAGAGATCAGTTAGGAATCACACCAAGCCAAAAATCAAGAGAG